GTTTTGACTAATAATATGTTATTTATCTATTTTAATTACTTTCACTCAAACTCTTAATAAATCGAGTGCAAGGGGACTTTCATTTTAAGTATAAAAATATTTTTCTTCATCTTACAGTTTTCATATTTTATTTGCATAAGCTCTAGAACCTACTAAATGAATATCAAAATAGATTTAAATGTAAATCTTTATGTTTTATTTTTCATTTTCTCTACCATATCACTAACTAACTATTATCATTAATGTACAATGCAATGAAATGCTTAAAATTAGGAAATAGAAAGTATGTACATACCTTTTAATTTTTTGTATAATATCTTTAAAGATTTTCCATTTGTTATATTCATAATTTCAGGTCTTTTCCCTCTTCATATGTAGTTAATTTTTAATGTTTTATTTTCCGTTCTTGTCCTTTATCATTTATTATTCATCTCAACAAAAGTCAACAGTGCTCTCTGGCAGAGATGCACAAATTTTCAGCAAAATTTTCATGTGTAATATAGTAAGCCTTAAGAACTGATGCAAAGTATGATGTATATTTAAAAAATGTTTAAACCTTTCAGTTATGCATTTCTAAACATAAATAATACATAATTAACTAAAATATAATAGTAAGACCTAAATACAATTTAACTGTATCTCTAACTATAACATACTTAGGTAAGAAGCAATTGTAAGTGCTATAGTCAGTCAAGCAGCCAACAATACCACAGGCAGTCATATGTACCCCATGATGTGCATCAATTTCAAAATAACCATTGTTAGATTATAGTGTAAAATTAGCTCTTTCTAATGACTATATACATGCTTGTGCAACCTCTACATGTAGGCTATGAAACTCAAACAAATCTTTTGAAGGTAAGTGTGGCACTAGTCACAGGTTGACAAAATTTATTACTTGTTTCAAGTGCATTCATCCAAAGAATTTTGAAATGTATGTGTCAATAGGTTATGTAAATGTCTTATTGTCTAGACATACATTTACACAACTAGGCATTGTATTATTGAAGATACAGAGTGCCAAAGTAAATAATTTTAATAACTCATGGGTCACATGATAATACATCTGAAATTTTAAGCAGTTTATGTAATTTTCATTTGAAATAAAGGATTTAAAACTTAGATAATATAAAACTTTTAATCATAACATACATTATAATGTTAATTTCATTCACATACATTGATAGTAAAGATGTTTAATTAAATTTTGAATGTAACTAGTTTAAAGGGGTAGCCATTTTGAAAAGGTGAAATAATATCCGGTTAAAAGTTATCACACCTTTGGTCGGGGAAAGTAGTTGGAGTTGAACTGCTGATCAACATTTTCGCCTCCATTATTTTGTCCAATGAGGTGATCGTGCAGAAGTTGGAGACAAGCAGAGGTTTATCGGTCTTCATAGTCATGGAATTATGGTGCTCTCTGAATATTGAATGGTAACAGGTCCTCCAGCTCAATATCAGGTTCTACTTTTAAAATGTCCTCCATGGTCAGTACTTTTACACTGAAAACAAATGTTTCAACTGAACATGTCACTGGCTAGAAGAGTAATGAAAACTGACAGCTATTCTGATACAACTGGAAGAACAAAGAAACTAATGATTTCAGGTTGGTGAACCTGTCTAGATACAGATCAAAAGTTGAGGTTAAACCTACATTACAATTTGACATCGAAGCTTCCCAAAGCTGAATGTACAACTTTCACATTTACTGTCTAAAAGCAGTAGATTCTACTACAGTAACTTTAATGACCTCCTATACTGCTCTGCTTTAAAACTAAAACTGTATTAGCTTATCTTTTGTGTTTCATCTGCTGAATTTCAGTATTCCAGGTCAATTGGCTGGTTTTTAGATGCTATGAAAACAATGGTCCACATCTCGCTTCACCACAATAAATTAAAACAAATGAAACTCACAACTATATCTCTCTGTTGTGCAGGCTATAATTGAATCACTGCAGCAGAAGTTTTATCAAACTGACTGCATTTGGGCTACAGTATCATTTATACTGTCGCATGGCTTATCAGCAGCTACAAGAGTTGTCAACTTCCCTCTTGGAACCCATGGAGCACCCTTGCTGACCCTATTCTTGTTTTTTTTTTAACCTATTTGTGTTGTGTATGACTGAAAGGGAAATCAGAGTTTAGAACTAAGTGGAACTTGGCACCTTTTTTACACAACATGAAAGAATTAATGACTTTTTTATACCTAGAAATATTATTGACTTTCCAAATGTTCACAGGAAAACTAAACAAACGTGATATTTCCATACTTTTTATGTTTTATACTGTTGTGCACTGTAACCAACAAAATTGTCTTTCCAGAGCTAACTTCATACAAAAGGTACAGAGACAAAGAACAAAGTTTCAATTTCAGTTTTAAAATGAAATATACCATATTTTTTGGTGTATAAGATGCACTTTTTTACCTCAAAATTTGATAGTCAAAATACTGCTTGCATCCTATACACC